TAGAGGAAGAATAGGGAAAGTAGGAAACCCAAAACTTGAAAGAGTTTGATCTGCCCACTGTAGAGGAGCTAATATAGTAAACTTAAACTGACAAGAGGCCACTATGGGATAGTGACCCGGAAGTAGTGAAGAGGCCTGGTAGAGATTAATCAATTCAGGTTGTAACATAACATTTGCATGGAAGCAATGCTAGGAATCTCTCTGTGTATTGATACTTATCTCAAACTAGCAAAAATGCTATGTCTTTCTTATTATTGCTTATGTATTCTCTTCAACAAAATTGAAGAGGGCAGAACAGGTTCTTTCTGGAAGCAAGGGGGTGGGGGCAGGGGGGAAAAATGGCCCAAACAATGTATGCACTCATGAATAAATGAATAAATTAAAAATAAAAACCTATGCATGGGGGAAGAGATAAGGAGGAGGGAAGATTGGGAGAAATGGAGAAATGGAGTGAAGAGTAAGGACTATAGAGAAACAAACTCTAGTGTGTAGAGATACAATTCAACTATCAATTGTTCTGGAGAAATTTGCTTTTGTCAGGGATTGTAAGTGGATAGAAAGTTTGAAAGTAGAAGAAGGCTATAGAATAAATCACCAATTAGATGGTTTGTAAACAAGAGATAGGAAAAGTGAAGAAAAAATTAAAAAAAAGGAACATTTGAAAATGTAAGAAGGAAAATTTAAGAATATAGAAAGGATAAGGAAATTAAATCTTTTTTAAGACAATATTTCTTCCTTGTTAAGGAGAACAGTGAATGTCTTCTGTACTTTACAAATACACAGATTCTCTCCTGGTTGCTCTCCTCTAATTTCTGGTTCTTGAGTTTTTGTCTAAAGTTCTTCTGTTGAGTGCCTCAGAACCCTAGATTGTCCAGATGATACTTCAGGGGAAGTGAGTGTGGGAGAGGTCTATGTATTAGGGCAGTTTCTAGAGTGAGGTGGGAAATATCTAGGCTTGTGAAGTAGTCATTGAGGTCAGTGATTAGTTTTCCAAATATAGCTAGTGTGTTAGAAAGCACTTTACAGCTTTCAGAGTGTGTTTTTCCCTATTCAGGGAACTCAATAGCTATTCTGGTTTGTCCACAACAAGCTTTTTTCACATTTTCCACCTCTGCCTCCATCCAGTTCAATGTTTCATTTGGGTAGTGAGAAGTGGATAGCTCCTGTTACTAGTGTATATGAACATGCTTCTCTGTTAAGCAGTATGTCAAGTGCTATAGCTACCTGGTCAGTTCACTTTGGCTCCTTCCTTGTCTAGATGATGAGCTTGTCTGGATGATGAGCTCTAGCTAGCTAGCCTTTGGGCTTCCTATCTCTCTTTGGATAGAGACACTGGGCTAAGTGGGTTTAGCCCATCACTGCTGGGCTGAATTGGGAGCCTTCAACCAGTTTGTCCAGCCAATATTTTTCTCAGGCAATCAGATTCAGCCCATTTAGCTAAAAAATTTCTTGGGGTTTGGGTGAATTTGTTGCTTCATTAGCTGAGAATATGTTTTGTGCAGTAGCTGGATGAAATACTCTAGTTGTCTGCTAAATCCATTTCATCTATAGTGTCAATCTGAAGTTCCTTAGTTGATATTTTTGTTAAGCTATTGGTGAGAGTAGAGTATTGAAGTCTCTCACTGTTATTGTGCTAAAGTCTATCTGTGCTGTTGAGTAGTATTTTATTGTTGCTGTTGCTTTTCAATGAAAGTTGGTACATTGACATTTGATTTATATGTGTCAAGAATTATGACTCTTTCTTGATGTATTGTTCACTTTATTAATGTGAAGTGATTTTCATTGTCTCTTCTGTCTAGTTTTGGTCTGAAGTCTTCTTTATCAGACATGATTCCTGTCAGTGAGATGCATCTTTTGCAACTGACTCAGCATTCTGTGCTTTTGGATTGAGGATGAGGTCATTAATATTCTGTGTTAATATTGAAAGTTACATAGTAATTCATCTCATTTTGTTGTTTTTTTCTCATGTTCACTATTCCTTATTGAATAGGTTGTTTATTCTCTCTTGTACTTTTTTTTCTGGCTGTGTTTACAGTCTTCAAATTTGTGTAGGCTTCCTCTAAGTATTTTCTGCAGAACTAATTTGTGGTCATAAACTCCTTTAATCAGTTTTAAATAGGTTTCATTATTCTCTTTTGATACATGAAAATATCTCAATCATAATTGACCCCGCCAACACCCTCTTTGACTTCTCCTTTCCAGTGGTTCCCCTCCTTAAATTGTCTCCATTTTACCTTCAAGTCATTCTCTTATTGCAGGGCATTAATTGTAAAGTCATAGTAATTTCCCCCAAAACATTAAAGGTGTCAGTCACATAGGTGGGTAAAGTCAAGAGATAGCTGTTGATTTTCTGTGTTCTATCTGGGCTGTCCCATTTTCTCAAGTGTAGGGTGAGGGTCAGGAAGAAGTAAGTTCACCTAGGATGTTACTGTGGCATTTCCCTTAATTTTTCTCCAGTTCTTGATCACTGCTTGATATAAGTTCTCACGTGCAAAAAATCTGTATGTACAAAAAGTTCTTTCATCTCTGTATATATATCCCTCTGACCACCAAATCTTTGCCTACTGTGATAAGTCAGTAGATCTTAAAAGGCATAGACTGTGCAGTCTTCAAAACAACAAAAAAAAAAAGAAGAAGATTATGAATTCTCCTCTCGTATCTTGTTGGAAATGTGAGAAAGTAGAGGGAGAAATGGGGAATAATTGACACTAATGCTTACATTTTAAGATAAGAGTTGATTCTAGCCTAAAAAGAGAATAAATATGGATCAGGGAAGGTCAGCTGACTTTCTGTGCAAAAGAACATTTAAGCTAATATAACCAGAGTAATCTTATTTAAAGATCATTTCCATAGAAAAAATATATTGCTTAAAACCTTTAGTGCAATTAGAGTTTTAAAGAACAGAAAAAAAATTTATGTGGTCTTTAATTTAAATTACCTAATTCAGTTTTCCATCTCATATATTATTCTGTCTCAGATATCTACTAAGTAATTTGGGTAATTTTTTGATTCTTCAAATGCATTCACTAGACAAAATGCCAATATTCTATATTATGCTTATGTAAAGAAACAGCAGACTGGTGTCTCTTTACGTCTTTCTGTTTTCTCAAGATATACATCCAGCTTTGCCACCACAAACTATTTATATAATTAAAAAATATTTTAATGAATTTAGAGTGGAATGGCTTCATTTATTAGTGGTTTCTTCCTTTTTCCAAATTAAATTTACTTTATTAAATAAATTACTCAGAAATAAGGTCAATTTATACTCAACATGTTGACCCTTCAAAAACTTTAAAGTGTGTTTTATCTTGCTTTGATCTTCTTTAGTCCAAAGTAAATGTTCTCAGTAATAGTAATGATTTCTTCTTTTTGCCTTGAATAATATTCTACCACCTTCTTCTGGCAATTTTTTTTCCTTGAGTCTGATTCCTTTACCAAAGCACAGGAATAAAACTATAGGGGTCAAAATTATTTGGAATTGCATCTTCTTTTTTTCTGGATACTACATTTCAATTCGTGAGACCAATGACCATATTACAAACTATGGCATATTATGCCAGTCATTCTTTACTTTTATTGTTTTTAAGAGAAATTAAAATTTCTGATAGGAAAGAGATGGCAATTGCAGGAAACCAATGTACATGTTAGTAATTATGAGATTAAGTACATAGAAATAAAGTTTAAAAATTATGCAAATAGTAGATAAAAACATTAAATATTAATGAATTAGATAAAATGAAACAAAGGGATTAAAGGGAAAATAAATTTAAAAGTCCTCTTAAGAAACATACTGGGAAAGAGACTTGATTTTATTTCTGAGAGTGATTACTTTTTACTGTAGTAAATTCCATGGAATTGTGAGTTTTTGAGAACTACAGAGTGATCTTTTGTTGTTTTCTTTGCCTTATCTCAGAGGAAGTATATAAACAGCAGTTATATCTGTAAAAGAGAAAAATAAACCTCTTTTTGTTTCCTCATGAGAACCAAGGAAAGGAACAGATGTTAACTCAGCAATTAGCAAATCATTGGAATATCTCTACAGGGACTCACTATAGAGAAGAGAAACTTTAAAAGGTTCCACTGTGACAATGTTAAATCTATATAGGCTTAGCTTTTCTTTGTGAGAAATCAAAGTCATTGACCTAAAACTTGTCACTTAAAACAAGCACCACAGCAAAACCATATTTCTGGAATCTAATATTTTCAGTTATGGGATGGCAAAACTGTTTAGCATGGTGTGAATATAAGGAATGGCAAGCTAAAACTAAGCATGATTAACTATGTGGAAAATGACTTCCTCTGTTACGTTTTGGAGCCTTCTTTAATTAATTATACATGTTTAAAGTTATCATCTGGCAATGCATTATAGAACATACCAATTTTAGGTTGAGTTCTGGGATTTCCCTCCCACTGTAAAAAGACCCCAAACAAAACCCCTCTTTTCGTAATTGCTACAGTGCATATTGTTCAATCCTGGCACAGATCTTTTCTAGTAAAAAGACCTAGACAATCAAAGGTACTTAACAGAAAGATGTATTAATGTCAAAATAAGAAAAACATATTCTTGACAAATTTCCATATTTTGTAACACCTAATTTGTAGCTGAATCTAAAGAGCCTCTTTGATTATCCATCTTTTGGATCTATTTTGTAATAATTACTTCCTTCCACTAGATGTCAGAATTGGATAGGAGCAGAGTAATGTTCTCCAAAACCAGTTTTCACATTGCTCATAGAACAAGCTCATGTACATTACATAATTTAATATATTCTGCAGATCAACTTTTCAAGTTACCAGAAACTTCTACATGTGGGTCATTATTTCTTTAAAATGTTTACTTTTTACTTCCCTTATCTGCTAATTATAAAACAAAAAGAATATTGGAAAGCTGTGTAATTAATTGGTAGCAACTTGCAAATTGTTTTGAAGCAATGTTCACCGTTTCTGCAGCATTCAATATAAAAGTCCCTCCTCATTTTGATTTGTCCTTGCTACAGCCTTTAGATTTTGAAACAAAGAAGGCATATACATTTAAAGTAGAGGCCTCCAACCTTCATCTTGACCACCGGTTTCACTCCGTGGGCCCCTTTAAAGATACAGCTACGGTGAAGATCAGTGTGCTGGATGTGGACGAGCCTCCGGTTTTCAGCAAGCCACTGTACACCATGGAGGTTTATGAGGACACTCCAGTCGGAACCATCATCGGTGCTGTCACTGCACAGGACATGGACGTGGGCAGTAGTGCTGTTAGGTGAGAAAAATAAGCATTTTGTTTTATGGGTATCAGAAAAACAAAAGCAAAATGAACAAAAAACTGACAATGCTGCAAGATAATTAGACTATCATATATGATACCAGAAATGCAATCTCTTCACATAAGTATAAGAATAGAAGAAACAACACAGATTTTAATGAATCAATAAATACTAGTCATTGTAACAGAGTTTACCAATGGTAGAAGGTTAGACATATCACTCAAGCTAATAAAGCTTAATTTTTCATCTACAGAAGGATTAAATAAAACCTCAAAGAATGATTCTCAAGATTAGTGATATTAAAACACTTTTAAAAGTGCTTAAATATAATAGACATTAATAAATTTATAATTGTGACCTCTGCCCTCCTACCCAAAGTTAGTGTTTGAATTGAGATGGTTTACCAATCCAGTTTGAAAGCAACTTTTTTCCCTTTAAGAATTGCATATTGCTGTGTTTGAGATGGGGTGAATGGGAGTATAGTCAATTGGTCAGCCATTAGGATAAAATGATGTAAGAAATCGCTCCAAATGCAAACTCAAGGAGCTGTTTCTTATTGACACCTCCTCCTCAGTCTCTCTTTGTCTCTGTTCCATAATCCCGTAAATTCTATTAGCACTACTGAAGAATGATAAAAATTCCCTTTTCCTCACTCATACATTGATTTTTGTCATAAGTTTGAGATTTTTTCTCACTTATTTTGTTACATGCTTCCTGATACATGCCTACAACTTTTAGGAAAATATAAAAAAGAGAAACGTGAGATTCCTTCTGAGTCTTCATCCCTAAAAGATTGAATATGAGTATGTTAGAGTGAAATTAAGGAAATATTAAGTAGCCATTTTTCTTGTGTGTGATGGACAAGCACTCTACTACTCACTGACAACTCAGGCACTGAAATAGGATTTTAAAAGAGAAATACACTATTAATATAGAAAGAAGTGGATATATATCCTAAGATTTCACGCCATGTGGTAAGTAATGACAACAAACAGATCTGTGGTACACTCAGCATAGTGTTAAACTTTAACACTCGAGAAGAAGAATCCTTCTCTGACTCAGAGCTCTGACTTCTAAGCCCACTGGGGCAACCATTCTGCCTTCTGGACTCACTGGCATGATACATCACTCACACCACTGGTAAGGCACTACCCATCCTGTGCTTTCTGTCTTGGCCCCATCCATGTGAAGAGATGGCAACTGAAGGGCTCCATTGGGCAGCCTAACCCCCATGGCTCTCCTGTGTATTGGTCTCAAACTTTGAAATCATTGTGGAAGTGGTCATGGCTCCAGCTCCTAATGATGTTGAATTACTTTGGTGTCCTTCTTCACTTGAAGAGTAGTGCATGTTCTCAGCTTAATGGTTCTATGATCTGGTCCTGTGGGTTTAATGACTCTGACAGTCTTCCTTCATTTTTCTGATCTCTGTTTTCTCTTGTCCCAGAGGGCAGTTTTCCCGCCCTTGTAAAATTTTACAGCTGGCTTTTTGTTGACACAGTGGAAGAAGTCCTTGGTTCATACCCATGCAAATCTCCTTATCAAAATGATCAAACTGCCAACTCTAAACATGTTGTCTTTTGTGCACATGTTTCTCATTTTTAAATGTTAACTGGATGAGATTCTTCCAAGTTTAAAGATTCTGATTCCCTTTTGCTTAACAATTTACATCTTTAATTAATTTATGGCCTCTGTTGCAAGTAGTCAGAGGAACCAAATTACGTCTTAAATATTTTTCTTAGAAATCTCAGATAAATATCTAGTTCCATCCTTTGAAATGTGTACCTTCTGTGAAACACTAGAACATGAAAACTATTCACAAAAGTTTTTTGCTACTTAATCAAAAAGATTCTCGTTCCCTCAGCTTCCAATAATGTTTTCTTCATTTCTCTCTGAAACCTCATCAGAATGGTCTTTACCCTCTGTGTTCTGCTAACATTCCTTTCACAAGTTACATATTCTCTAAGAAGACAGAACCTTTACCTCCAATTCTCCTATTTTTGTTCCACGCCTTAACAGAATCACCCTGAATATCCATAATTTATACAAATTCAAAATTCTTTCAGCTTCTGCTCACTACACAGTGTAACAAACATCACGGTTAAGGCAGCACGCCTACTGCCTGGTACAGGTTTCTTTCATGAAGGCTGCTGTATCAAACTATAGTGAGTGCTTAGCAACATTTATATCACTCAGTTATGGGTGATTTGCAGGCCTTGATCAAGATGACAGCACTTCCAGTGTCTGACAAGTGTCTTTTTTTTTATTTAGGAAATGAGTCTCTTCTCTTTGAATTAAAAAATGGCAGAAAGAGGAGAGTGTCCTTTCACAAGCACACTTACCCCATCCATGAGGACCTACCCTCATCATCTAGTTACTTCCCAAAGCCACCTCCAATGTCATCACCTTGAGCTTTAGGATTTCAACATATGAATTTTGGAAAGATACATTCAGTCTTTAACAAATACTTTTTCTTCTTGAAGTCTGACTCTAATAAGGAGATAAGGTCATATACAAAGAAGCATATATTTCTTATGAAAAGGAAGAAAGATGACAATTACTGAGTCCTATACATTTCAGGCAAATGCTGACCAGTTTACTCACTGGAGTCAGGCTGCTTTTTCTTCTTGTCAATATTACACCATGATTCACTTCTAGCTAATCTCTCTCTTTAAATATATATATATATATATATATATATATATATATATGTGTGTGTGTGTGCATGTGTGTGTACATACATTATACATGAGCAGTGTCTGATGAATCATTCACAAGAGTCTGTTACATCAGTCATTGTCAAATATTAACATGCTCTCATTCATTACTCTTTTTCCTGAAGTCCCCACACATGCTGGTGATCATTATGAAAGTGGGAAACACCCAGTGAATAGATTGATAGGATTTTTTAAATGGACAAGAACAGTCATTGAAAAAAGTTTAAAGGTCATAACAAGCACAATAAATACTGATCGCAACTCCCTTCAGTTCAATAAATGAACATTTAGGTACATAGTGGAATCCACATTTGCAGAAAACAATTGATGTTTAATTGTGGCACATTGTATCCGGAAGGCTGATAAAAGCATGACAATGCCAAAATATTAACAGAAATTGTGCTTTTAGTCCAATAATGCAGATTTTTTATGTCTGTAAGTAGAACACATCATATGTAAAGGGACAACCTTTCAAATCTATGAAAATGGTTAGTGTCACAATACTGGTATGAGAAACAAAGGAAGGATATATTTTAGAGGGATTCTCTTGGTGCAAGTGTTCTTTATTTTTTATGCTTTATGTCACAGGAGCCAGTATCTGACAAGTGCTACTTTGAATGAAATGAAGTGGTATCCCTTGTCTTACTTCTAATGAGCAGTGCTTGCCCAGCTAAGGCTTCAGACACAGATGGATATAATTGATCCCTGTGAGGAGTTATCAAAACACAGAGCTGTTTATGAACGACATGAAACCTGTCTAAGCTCCCTGTCCTTGGAGTAAACAACAAACTTGTATCATGTCAGCAGAGGAAATGTGGAGCATGAGTCATTTTTCTTTGGTCTGAAAATGTGTTTGCTCACTTAAGACTGATAGTGAAAATACATTTTGAAAATTAGATAACAAATGTAAAATTATTTGATGTTTATATATGTTGTTTTCCTCAGGACCATGATATTCCTTCTCTCTCTCTGTCTCTCTCTCATTAAGTAGTACTGGAGTTTGAACTTTGATCATCACACTTGCTAGGCAGGCACTCTACCATTCAGCCACATCCCGATTAATTTTTGCTTTAGTTGTTTGTTCAGATAGAATTTCCTGCTTTTTTGTCTAGAGCCAGCCTCAGACTGTGATCCTCCTCCCTGTGCCTCCTGGATTGGTGGGGTTACAGGATTGAAACTTGGCCTGTCCATTGAGACGAGACTTTCCTAATGTTTTGCCCCAGGAGATCTAGATATATGATTCTCCAGATCTGTTCCTCCTGAGTAGCTGTGATTACCATCAGGTGCCACCACATCTGGTGTCTCTGGGTGTTTTATTACTAGTACCAAGATCATCATTACTGAGCACATCTTAGAGTCAGGAAGCAATTCCATAACCAAGAACTAAACCAGTTTCAAAGAAAGAGTCACCATCTTTCAGTGCTTGCCAAATTCACCACATCTGGCTTTTGTCCACCTCCATCATCAGTCCTGGCTTAATTTTTATTCTTTCTTTTACATTTTTTGCTTTTTGATACAAAAAGCAAATTGAGATTAAAAAAAAACACCTGTACATATTTGTTCATATGTAAAAGGTTTCAGTCCATGATCATTGGCCCTGTGGACCAGTCTTGAGGCAGAGCATCATGGTTCAAAGTGCATAGTGAATCAGAGCTGCTCACCTCATGGCAGCTAAGAAAAATAAAGAGAACAGGTCAGGGACAAGAGTTCCTCTACAAGTCATGTTCCCATCACAGCCTTCTTCTCAGTAGTCCACTCAGCTGTGACCCATCAAAGTAATGACGTTAGAGCCCTCATGATCACCTGGCCAGCAAGCTTATAAATTCCCAACCCTTAGTGGATGGTTTTAGATTCTAAGCATAACATGTCCTCATTTCTTGCCGCTGATATTTTATTCCCTTTCAGATGGAGTTGATTACTATGCAGTTCACAGAAACTGTTTCTAGTGAGTCAAGCAAGTGTGCCCACCAAGCACTGGTTTTCATTCCCAGGCACTTCCAATAGGTCAGAAATTTTATCACACACATAAAAAATCTAGGCTCAGCCACAAAATGCATGAGAGAGAGAGAGAGAGAGAGAGAGAGAGAGAGAGAGAGAGAGAGTCATATGGCATGCTAAAGCAAAATAATATATTTTAATTATTAATTTTAGTAGATGGGAAGTAGCAAATGTTTGCAAAATTGCCTGGTCTCTATTTTTCTCTTACTGAGCCAGAGTTTTTATTTATTTAAAAAATTTTTTTTGGAAGTCCTGAGGTTTGAACTCAGGACCTTCATTGCACT